TTTCCAGCTCCCTTTGGGATTGAGGCACTACGCATGGACTCGGCAAATTGCTGTTGAGACATCGAAATACCCTTGGTGTTGGGATCCTGTCGGTAGTATGCACCACAGAACTCACCTTCCCCCCATACGCCACTTTCGGTAGGGAAATCGAGCCTTCAGTTTCTGAACAGCCGAATCGAACAGGGGACCTGAACCACCTACGGCGGTATCATCAACATGCACTCCCATGACACCACACAAGGAATCGTTCTTTGGATCTCTAAGGGTATAGAGGCAAGAATCAAATTTTGACTTGACCCAACCCGCCTGTTGAGCCTCAGAATCGAACGTGCGGTACCACGCGCTTGGCGCGTCATTCTGGCCGTAGACGTTTCCAATCACCTCTATCACGGCATCTGCTGGCACTCCGGGGATTCCACCTTTGGGCATGGATGCAAATAGAGGCCTGAATTTCTGAGGAAGTTCACCGGCCTCCATGAAGGCGCCTTTTATGTCTCCGAGCTGAAGGACCCACCCATGCGAGGCTAACACTTGCATGATTAGCATACGGCTCATCTGGGACAAGGTGGGAGACTGAAGCAATCCGGTTGAAGCCTTCTCATCGAGATCTGGGTCCAAATGGCCCTGAAGACACCAACGACTCTTCACACGGTAGGTCGAGGGATTGAGAGGATCGATGGCGATCCCCTCTTCAGCCGCCTTTCTAATGATTACGAACCGAGATCCAATAAACCTATCTGGAAAGCGACGCTTCAACTCTTGTGCCTTTTTCCCATAATGGATCTTGATGGCGGTTTTTTTCTTCGAGGGTTCCCCATTCAGCTACCTTGGATTCATCCACCAAAGCTTGAAGTTCTGGTGGGTTGCCATGAGGAGGGAGTTCTTTACTGAGCTTCTTTTGGATGTGAGCAGCAATGAGGGTTTCAATGCCATCATTCCAAGCTTCGGCGACTTCCTCGATCGACAGCACTTCCGAATCCACATTCCGTGCACGTTGAGCCGGTGGTTCTTCAATGGGTGTCACATCGTCTTCACGATCACGCTTGACTCCGGCCGCGGATGAAGCGGAACTGCTTGATGTTCCCTGTTCACTCGAAATGGCATTCTCGATAAGGGATGGCACGAGGTCTTTCATCAACTCTGAAAAATCATCCGCTAGCATAGCTGGTGGCCGAAACAGTGAAGACGATTGAGACTTGGTGGAGACTCTACGCCGCACTGGACCATACGAGGATTCCTCTTCCGGGACATATGGTAGGGACTTAGGATTCACATATGGCTCAATTGCACGGTCTTTGACCTGAGATTCTGGCTCATGCTCGGCATCATGCGGTTTTGTGACATGCATGTCTACATTGCTTCCCGGAGAAGAGATCTCGAAGGGACCAGGATCTTGGCTCGGCTCAGCCGGCTCGTGCACTTGAGACGCCACAGGACGCCCTGATGGGTCCGGCAGCTCAACCCCACAAGGAGGATATTCGGACGGCACTAGATCTATATACTGCTTGCTTTTGAAAGTTCCCCCCTCAATCAAGTCCTTGATACCTAACAATTCAGCTTCAGGCGATTCAATCATGGTACGCTCTTCGGAGGTTGCCGGTCGGAGTTGTTCAGGGGCACACCTAAAAAATCTGTTTCCGGTGGGCGACAATCACATTTCTGCCTACCATGCCGATGACAACTGCGGTGCCATGCCATCTACCCCCCTTGTTGAACCGTCCCCTGAATGACCTTCTGTTGACGCCAATATGCAACCAGTTCACCGGCTTTGAATTCCATGACCATCCTAGGGCGACCGGACATGGCAGCGCGAACTGCTTTGTCATCCTGGAGAGCTACTACGGCCATGCGAGCCGACCGACGCAGCGCTTGTGCGCGAGCTATGGCTTCCTCATGAAGACCCACGGTGGCCGGAACAATGAGAAGAGGTTCGGACATCAAGTTCTCAGGAAGGTTTGGATTCTTGCCGAACACATGTTGAAATGGTGTAAATCCATACGACTGAATGGACTGGTTTTTCACATGTGCATGGCGAACACACTCCAACCATTCTTCTTTGTTTGAGGGCGAATGTTCATCAATCATCTTTTGCAGAATCCTACCAAACCAACCTCCATGATTCTCAGTGCGTCCTAATTGCCAGTGTGCTTCGGCAGCAATGACCTTGCAGTGGGTTCCCATGGACTCTAGATACGATTGGAATGCTTCACCTAACATGGTTTGTGCAGGATCGACGATCACAGACTCCGGAGGTCCGGCCCAGCGGACCCAGGCTTCGGCAAAGATCTTGCCAATCAACATTGATGTCTCTTGCTCAAAGAAGGGAACAATCTGTTGAAAGCACGACCCCTGATCAACCATGTTAACAGACTTGATCTTTTGGTTAGGCAACCAACCTGGGAGGTACTTCACGTCCACCCCGACTAACTGGTTGAACTGAGTGATGCGACCTGACTGTGCTGGAAGCGGCACATGAGGCTTGATGTGCGCCTTGCAAAAATCGCACACCAGATCCCGGGCCATGGCTATGGCCTT